AGTCTGGGTCTACTGAGACATGCAGTTTGAAATTGTTATTGTTATAAGTAAATGGTAAATATAAACTTTTCGTCTCAATCTTTCAGACAATTGTATTGTCAATAACCCGTTCCACTATAAAAACTTTTTAGGGTACTAGGTTCTCTCTTTGCAAATCCGCCCATATGGGTAGATCAATGATGTAATAATTAGATAGCTTCTTATAGTACTGTAGTATGTACATTAGCGTCATTGATGGAAAGTCTATTGTAGCTTGTGCATAAAGTATGTAGTCATCAATTTGTAGTAAAAAAAAAAAAAAGTAAAATTCTGTATAGATAGGGCTTAATAAGCCAAAGCGACAGTTCTCTTTTTCGTAATAAAAATGTCTCTAACGTTGTCGTAGTCGCGGCTGTGTAGTTGTTTAGGCGCTGGGTCAACCTGGCGAATGTAAAGAATCCTCAAGTGCCGCGCCAGAGCTAGATTTTCGAGTGGAACGATCCCATTCGTTAACCCGCACGACAATAATGGTTAAGGTTGTGAAGGAATTAAGCAAAACAAAGGCGTCTATGTTGCGTATGTCGATGCCCAGGACATTTAGCTTGTGATTGCCTCGATCAATTGAAACATGAACGTCTAGAACGTGTTGTGGAGATACATAAAAAGGAAGAAGGATGGTTAATAAAACGAATGAATGGAAGAAAAGGAAGAACGATACGAATCTGGACGACAAGATCGAGGATACAGGATTCCTTCTAATCATGGAAGTAGAGAAAGGTGTCAAAAGCGAAGGGAAAACGTTCGAATGCCATCAAAAATCAGCGAACTGGACAACGCTATTGGAGCGTGCAAAGGTGGTCGTTATGAAAATGAAAATGGATTCGAAAAGGATGAACCCAAAGAATTCATCAATTATCAAAAATCTGAAAATATGAGTAACGTTAATGGAACATTTAATGGTGGACATTGTCATCGTAGTGGAATTGGAGTCAAAATGAATGAAAGACTTCCATTATCAAAAAAGCCCCGACGGGACTCATCGAAGAAGCTTTAACGTTGGTAATTATCATCATGAAAATGGAAAAGCATAAGGCATTCGGTTATTATCAAAAGTCTGCTGCTGGTGGACTCGAAGCTTTCAAACGGTCAAAATGTACTAAAGGTGATGAATTGAATGTGGAAATGATTTTGGTGATTATGATGAGAAGAATGCCAATGAAATATATAGCATTGGTGAGCTTGTTGGTCATGATCTGAAAAATTTAATCAATGGTGCAGATGATCATTCTGATGAACGTTTAATCCAAGAAGATACCGTTTCAACATTTATTCAAGTAAAACAAATTTTGGAGCCTTTGCTAAATAA